GTTCGAAATCGCATGTGAAACTAGGTCAACGGAGCTAAAAATAGAAAAATCTTGTTAACACTCTAGTTGCTACTGTTTTGATCCAAGTATCCTGGAAATTGGTCTGAAAGTTTGTTTTGATGATTTCTAGGTCATGTTTGAATATGGGTCACCTGGGTAAAAAACTAGGTCACACTGCTCAAATATGGATAATCTTTGTTAACACTGTAGTGGTCACATTTTTAACTCACCTGTCATGATAGTTGGTCAGAATGCTTGTCTAGGTAATTGTTTGGATGAGTTTGATGGGTCAGGTGAGCGATCTAGGGCCATCATGGCCCTCTTGTTTATAAGATGAGATTCACATCAACTTATATGTATAATGAAGAGGACCTGTTTTCGTATTGTACAAATAATATCAGTTCTGGTCTGTTCCTTAAAATTGAGGGATCCAGTTTACAATACATGCATATGGCGTTCTTGTCTTAAATAATGTGCTGTTTCATCTGTACCATATGATACATGTAACTTGCAAGTTAGTTAATTCGATGCTTTTTATCTCCTCTATTTAATAATACTTTTATTAGCACACACCCGAAAAAAGCATGTGTCATCTCAGTATTAGGAGGTTATTATACATTATTGAGTACACTATTGAGTTCTATCGTCGAATACACAGCTGTCAAACCTATATTGGACGAGGCGCATGACGAGTCTGATATAGGTTTGGTAGCTGTGAACGAGTCCATTAGAATCAGTGATGATCGCAAAAAAAGAAATAATTTTTTTTATTTAACCGTTTCATTTATTGCCATTTTGAAAGAACTGTATTGCTTCAAGCACAATTAGGATAAGTACAATAAAAATTAATATGAATATTAGGGCTCTGATATTGAAAACGAGGCTACTTGTATATTGGGTACCATTTGCATTTGATATTGATATTATGGACTCGTGTCATGTTTTTAGGACACCATCAAGAACCTGGCGCGAAGCTAAGGTGGGTGACAGAGTTACGAGAGGGAAATCTGGACAAAAAGATAAAAAAATACAAATTTATTGTTGTATTTGACACAATTAATTGTACGGGAATACAGTTAAATCTCATCGGACAACCTCCGTTGGGGAAACAAAGTTTTTGTTGTTGCTGAAAAGTGTTGCTCTTGAAGTTAAATTTATTGTGAAGTCTTACTTTGGGAAGAAGTGACAAGGCTGTTGTACAGAGGTTATCGCTCTAAAGTGGGCAGTTCTTCAGACTTTGCTTTGTATGTGATCCGCACACTTCAAACACATAGGCAACAAATACTTTTGGAGAAAATTTCAGTAAAAGACGGCTCTATCAATAATCAGGTTATTGTTTGGAAAATTGGACTTAACCTGTGTTTTGATATACAACATATATTTCTACAAAATATGAATGCAATCGTTTTAAATTCTTCGAAAATATTGCCGTGGATATCAAGATAGAAAAAATACCGTAATTTCACAAAAAAGTTGAACATAAAGGAGCATAACTCTATCAATAATGAGTTGACCTTCTTATGCTTCCGAATTATACTATACTCAGTTGCAAAAGAAAGTGTGCACTTGGTTACTTGGAGAGAAAAATACTGTTTGGAACTTACGATAACTGAAAATCTAATAAAATATGAAAAACAAAAAAGATCAGTAGTGGCTTCCTCACATTTAATAATGAATTATATTTCATATACTTTATCTAACTACCTAAAAACTGTCAATAAACTTATAACTCTTTTTAAACGATGTTTGGTTGTGAGTTTTTTTACATTACAATTCTCTATGTTGACAAATCAGTGGTCTCTAATTTATTGTATAGACCCTTTCATTTAAGCGATAACAGTCTTCCCTGGTCGGAGGTGACGTATATGGGGGATAAAACTATACAGGCCGCATAGAATGTTAGCTTATTGAAAAGTTAAATGCGTAAATACTGATCGTTCAATTATGATTATAACATGTAAAAATTTACGCATGCATACATAAATACAGTATCAAGACAATAGAAAAAAATACAAAAACAAAGATTGAGATTAATTCTCGCTATACGGAGTGAAACAGCGAAATTTCAAAGTGAATACAGTATATTTATTAGATCAAGATTTTCTCTAATGCCAGGATGAAAAGCTAGTAACTAAATCAAATTTTAATATTTTATAAACACCCATACACACTGAAATTGCCTATTATAAATTTAAATGGCCATTTTCTAGTTTTCTGTTATTTTCTGCCATTTAGAAAATTCCGGCGTATTTGTGACAAACATGGAAATAAGATTGCCAATGTCTTTTAATGATTGTTTTTCAAGCTTTAATAGAACAATAACAGAATGCATTCTGTCAAGATTAACTGATTCTTTTTCATTATGCCGTATAAAAAATATTTCAAAGAACCAGTGAAGGATATAATTTTATAAATAGTCCGGAAAGAACGAAAACCATGTGGCATTGACTTTTATAATTTTAGATTCGCAACAGACGATAATAAGATAAGATAATTTTGATACTAAAAATCTATTCTTATTGTTATAAAAATAAAGACCTTTTCCCAGTAACTTATTTCATAGATAAATAGATGTGTATATATAAGCGCCACTGGGCCGTAACATGTTAATCAACAGGGTGCATATGTGTATATGTAAACCTCTCCAACATTAACATTTAACAATTTATTTGTTCCTAGTGTATTTCATAGTAAATGTTTTAAATACAGTATAAGCTCTGCTAAGGAACACCTTTCATAAGACACGAGTTTAAGTTGTTGCTTTAGAGAGGTTAAATATATCATTAAGTCTTACTTTGGGAATAAGAGGAACGGTTGTTGTAAAGAGGTTATAGAGAGGTTAAATATATCATAAAGTCTTACTTTGGGAATAAGAGGAACGGTTGTTGTGAAGAGGTTATAGAGAGGTTAAATATATCATAAAGTCTTACTTTGGGAATTAGAGGAACGGTTGTTGTAAAGAGGTTATAGAGAGGTTAAATATATCATAAAGTCTTACTTTGGGAATAAGAGGAACGGTTGTTGTGAAGAGGTTATAGAGAGGTTAAATATATCATAAAGTCTTACTTTGGGAATTAGAGGAACGGTTGTTGTAAAGAGGCTATAGCGAGGTTAAATATATCATAAAGTCTTACTTTGGGAATAAGAGGAACGGTTGTTGTAAAGAGGTTATAGAGAGGTTAAATATACCATAAAGTCTTACTTTGGGAATAAGAGGAACGGTTGTTGTAAAGAGATTATAGAGAGGTTAAGTATATCATAAAGTCTTACTTTGGGAATTAGAGGAAAGGTTGTTGTCAAGAGGTTATAGAGAGGTTAAATATATCATAAAGTCTTACTTTGGGAATAAGAGGAACGGTTGTTGTAAAGAGGTTAAAGAGAGGTTAAGTATATCATAAAGTCTTACTTTGGGAATAAGAGGAACGGTTGTTGTGAAGAGGTTATAGAGAGGTTAAATATATCATAAAGTCTTACTTTGGGAATAAGAGGAACGGTTGTTGTAAAGAGGTTATAGAGAGGTTAAATATATCATAAAGTCTTACTTTGGGAATAAGAGGAACGGTTGTTGTGAAGAGGTTATAGAGAGGTTAAATATATCATAAAGTCTTACTTTGGGAATTAGAGGAACGGTTGTTGTAAAGAGGCTATAGCGAGGTTAAATATATCATAAAGTCTTACTTTGGGAATTAGAGGAACGGTTGTTGTAAAGAGGTTATTGCTCTACAGAGGGCCGTTATGCAGAGGTTACACTGTATATTTACTTTGAAATGAAGTCAATTATATTATATGGTAAATGTGTGTTCACTTTGACTTTGTGTAAAGTAGATTTCATTGTTTAATGAACAATTCCAATAGATCTTTTGTGAAATCCAAATTTTGATGAGTAGCGAGCTTTTAAAATTTGATGTCCCTTTTCAGTTCGTCAAACGCCACTCATCGGCCTTATTTAGCTTCATTTGCTTTCAGCAATACAATTACAAAAAAGTCGAGCTAAAAATGTTTAAAGTTCACATTCAAAGGCGATGTTTAAAAGATAGCTTTTAAATAGCTAAAATTCAAAAACACACTGGCAGATAATTCAAAACGTGGGATAGTTACGCTTATTTTCTTTCTTATAAATCTGTGTTCATTTTGATTTTCTCCGGTCATGTAAATTTTTACATAATTTAAAATTCTAATTTTAGTCGCCTATGCGAATAGTAATACGGTATGGATAAATAAAAACAATTTTTTTATTATTATAATTATATAGACTGAAAAATATGTACGAGTATATGCATAATATATAATATATCATATTTTTCTGCATTTTGTATTGTACCGCCGACGTTACTTGGCGATGAGCTTATGCTTTTGCCAATAAAAAATTTTACTTGATTGACATTGACATATCTAACAAGCAAACAAACAAACAAACAAACAAAGAGACAAACAAAAAAAACTTTAATTCATAGGAAATATTCTTATGTAACATATCATATGGCAACTGATATAAATGATAAGCAGTGTTGAAAAGTTCATGACTGTGAATTCAAACGTGTTTTTTGTGTTTTTTTTTTCTCACGATACTAGTATTTATCCGTATACATTAATGTATGTCATTGATTCAATGCATCACATGAATGAATAATAAGTGGGACACTTAAGTGGGCAAATAAGACCATCACTAGATGCTCAAACATTACACTCCTTAAACTTTTGTTTTTAGAAATACAGTACAACACTATATAGTCCCATACTCATAGAACAAAAAAAATGGATAAATTAGATATGAAATTAAAGAATTAAGATATATTTACTTAATAAAATACTAAAAACATGAACCAAAAACTATCATTTTGACTACAAGTTATACTTATTCTTCAAATATAAGGGTTATACATGTAGATATAGTCACTGTTAATTGCGTTCACCATTAACGGGTGACTGTTACTATATAGTACCAACATTAGAACGCTTGATGGTATTATTTGTATTAATACAAGTGACATATTTTTGCATTATAATTTCCTCCTTAATTCGTAAACAAGAATTTTGTCTTTTTCATCACATCCAAGAATTATACGCCCGTTCTTTTCGTCGACAGCTATTGCGCGAATAGTCTTGCCAATGTTTGATATGACAATTCTATTGCTGTTAAAGTCAGAAGCAGATATCTGTATAACACTTCCGGTTGAGGTACAAGCAAAAATGCTATCACTACCTGTGGCAATATTATCAATAGCATTTTTTAGAGCTTCTCCTTTGCAAACATAGAAACTTTTCTCTACAGCGATGGTCTTGCCCGACTTTTCACGAAGTTCAAATAATAGTATTCGATTTAGCTCAGCTATTATCATAACATTACTCCCAATAAATTGTACAGCTTGTGTGTTACGGAGGGTCAGTGACCAGACTTTGTTACTTTCAACCTTAAAGTCTCTTATTACATCATTAATCTCTCCACTGAATGGATTTCTGAATTCTATTTGTATTGAATCATTTTTTGCATCATTATTGCAGCTAAAGTCCTTGCCACACATAATTGCAACAATACATTTTCCATCGAATCCAATCCCGTGATTGAAAAGTGTTGTTGAAAATCCACCGTCATACGAAATAGTGTTTCCTAGAACACTATACCTGTTGATTCGCTTAACTAATCCAAAACTGACAGCAAGTTTATTTTCTCCTATGTAGCACATTCGTATCGGCCTTCCGGGCAGTCTTAATACATCCAAAAGTTTATAATCAGGTGATAAAAGTTTAGTATTTGAATTTTCATTGTCAATTAAAACAAGACGTCCATCTGGAAGAATCGATATACCATATATTTCACAACGATTGGTATCTGTACTTCCTTTTATCCTATATGCATTCTTTTCAGTGAAGAAAAAACTTTCCGATATATTTGGTAAAGATCGTGTTTCTGTTTCACCGACTGGATTCTGTGTCGGTAAAATATTGACATCAGTGATTTTAGTCGGGGAACATTTTTCAACTGCCGCCTCTGCCTGTGAGCTACTCACGACTGTGTTCCCTGCCTGTGAATTACTCGCGACTGCATCCTTAGTTTGTGAGCTAGTTACAGTTACTACTGTGTTCTCGGATTGTGAACTACTCATTTCAATCTCTGTAACTTCATCGCTTGTTTTCTCTATTCCTAACTCAAAACATTCATTCTTATCTTCTGTCCTTTCTTCACGTAGTAAAGACAGTGTCCCAAGTGATGGTGTTTGAATGCTATCCTCATTTTTCATAAACAACAGCTTATATTCTTCTTGTTTGTCGATATCTTTGACTCTATTCCTTTTCTTCAAAATATCGTCTGCTAATAAATGTTCAATAACTTTACGACATGTGCTGTCTCCATATTTCTCAACTGCTTCAAGAATTTCTATATTTTTCACAGTTCTTTGCTCGATAACTTCAATTAATTCAGTGTCTTTATCGATTTCAGAGACGGCAACCTGCAGCTTTTCGTCTGTATCCTTTGCCAATTTTACTTTCAATTCTTCAAGGGCATTAATGGCTTTTTGGATGACTATTTCCTGTTTGCTTAAAATGTCCACCTGACTTTGATACAATAATTTCCTGTTCTCCTGTTTTCTTTCTTTTATTGAAGCTGTGGACAGTTTGAGTTCTGCGAGACTGCCATGTATGTCTTCTAATACTCCGTCACATTTGGCAATTTCAATTACATGTTCACAGTTCAGGTGGGTGTCTACACGACACACGGTACACATATAGGTCATGTGATCGTTACATTTATATGAAATCTTCATCTCTTTATGAACGGGGCAGGCAAGCATTTCATTCATTTCTCTTATAGCGTCCCCGTTATCTGGTACACTGTCTCGAGTAACTACATGATTTCTAGTTAATTTAACTTTCTTGTGTTCTATAATACATTTCGAACAAAGACACTCTGCACAGGTCGAACAAAATCCTTCCGCTTCAATTTCTAAATCAACATATAAACATGGTTCACATAAAGCACTTTTGCAAGCCATGTTCATCCGGAGGTTAAATCTCACCAAATAAAGTTTAAAAATACTTCTCTTCCTTGACAATCCTTAATTAACCTTTCTTAGTGACATATCAGCGTATGTGTACTCAAGATAGAGAAATTCCATGTACACGGTCACCGTTGTCAATACACACGCGTATTTTTATCTTTATCCACACCGTACAACCGGTGCTATGGGTGACTGATTACTGCAAGTAGGTTTATATAGTTGGTTTATTTATATTTCGCAAATAAAAAGTATCATTGCTATAGATGCACTGTGATACTGTCAGCGAATTTGGACTCGTTTCCTCATTTCATAAAAGTTACTTGCGAATGTGAATTAAGACATCTACACTGTAGTACTGGATAACTGCTTGACAGCCTGCAGGTGACTGAACAGTGCTTTGGTGAATTCAAAGTGGCTTACTGCCGTGATTACAAGCTGAACAGGAGCACCGTCTGGTGCAGTCAATAGAGCGTTGGCACGGTCAGGTTCAATTCCCGGTGGTTCAGGTACCTTTTTTGTGATGAAATCTGCGGTCGTTCGCAATGAACCTCTGCTCTAGCATGTACAGTAATGATACTAATTCCTTGCGCAAGTAGATGTATCATGCACTTGTAATGTTCTTTCAAGACAGTCCGCCCAGGAATTATGCGGAGAATGAACTGTAGGCTTGATCCAGAGTTTCACCGTCTATGTCAATACAACAAGGCTCAAGTATTGACTGACTTTAAACATATTCTTATTCAGATAAATGTACAATGTAAACAGCAAAACAAAACAGTGGTTATAATTAAGCAAAACTTATAAATCCCATCGTTTCTTATGTCAGTAGTGGTTGTATTGAATAAAATACTAGGAAATAAATACATCAATTAATGCCTATTTTCAATTACATAAATATCTAACATTCTTTTTTTTTCTCTCGTTTTTTGTTAAAGAATAACGAATACTTATTCCTAATATAATTCGATAATTTATCTTAACAAAACTTGAAAACAGATAAAAAAGTATTTTATAGGTAAACTTTCCTTGTCCTGATGTACATGTAGTCTGGTCCCCGAGTAGGAACAGTACGTCTCTGGCAGCGATAGAAAATGGCCGCCTCTAGTGTAAGCGTAACTGTAAGCCAGTTTTTAGAAAAACGAGGTTCATCGATCATCTATGATCCATCATGTCAGCTAAAATAAACACATTGTCTTTATATTTTTTTTTTCCAAAAATTAAGTTCATCATAAGAAGATAATGTCTAGTCGGCTGTCAATCTGAATACATATGGAGGGGCAGGTATGGTGGCTGATTTGGAACGCTTTTGTTCGTCATGTTAGCGCTAGCGACAACAGGACAAAACGCCAAACGGCGCGTTGTCGGACTTTTGTCTTGTCGTTCTGTCGCTAAAGGTGTACGACAAACGGCGCGTTGACGCGCGGCGTGTTTTCGCGATATCGCATTGTGGCTCAGTTCAAATCGAAGGATTGGCTTATAAGCCAAGTGACAGGGCGACATCGCGACAACGCGTCGCTTGGCGTGCTTTGCTTGAAACAGGGGGACAATACGACAGCGCGACAACGCGCTGTTTGGCTATATTAAAAATGCAATAACGAGATAGGTTGCGTTGTCGCTATCGACAACACAAAGCGCAATGTACCAAATCAGCCACCATAGCAGGTAATCCAGACTAGTCTCTGATGTATACATAGCAACAGACATAGAATACAAAATACGACTAACAGTGATCGTTTGATGTCATTGTACAGTTTACATATAACTACTACTATAACATGATGTTGAGTAGAACTTTTTAACAAAATTATACAAAATGATGTACTCAACATTTCCCCCATTGATCTGACTTTCTTTATGTTTAATATGCCATCGCAGTGTACATGTATATATTTTACATGTAGATGGGGCGATATTCACATTGATCAACTGATATATGTTTAATGACGCAGTTTTGTTATGTTAAATTCTTATTGAACAATAAAATCAGTAATGTCCAGTTCCTTTAAATTGAGGTATTCAATTATCAATAAACTGTCTGTTGTATATGTACCATGGATAATAAGCAAGTTCGTAATTCGATGATTGTTTATATAATAATAATAATAATAATAATAATAATATTATTATTATTATTATTATTATTATTATTAATATGCAATTTGTCATTTAATATGCCTTAGTTTCTTATTGTTACAGTCTTTTAGTAATTGTGTTTGCTAATCATAATGAAGTTTTACTTACGTCATGATTTTAGGTCTGTACCTCTTGTACAATATCATTATTATGTGATTATATGCCAGTAAATTAAAGGCTCATAATTGGAAATAAAATTTATTCTTATCTATTCCCCCCATTCAATTATGAGATAATTATATATTATCGGGTATAATACTGAATTCTGTCGGACGAGTACACATCAGCCAAACCTATATTGGACGAGGCGCAAGACGAGTCAGATATAGGTTTTGTAGATATGTACAAGTCCAACAGGATCAGTATTTATCGCAGCAATTGTATATAATGGCCTCTTTATTTCACTATTTGTTGACGTTTTGCCAGAACTTTATTGCACAATAAAGATTTGATATGACTGCTTGGATCTGAAAATGAAAACGAGGCAATATGGAGTATAATATGCATTTAATATGGATTTTTTTTCCTCTGGAAATAGAAGCGAGGTTAAATAATATGATTAGATCAGACAATACATGTATAAGGCTTTTGTACAACGATATCAGGCTTTTATACATTTTAAAGTTTATTTGAAGACTACACACCTGTCAAACCTGTATTGGAAGAGGCGCTAGCCGACTCTGATATATTTTTGGCAGCTGTGAGCGAGTCCAATAGAATCAGTATTGTTCTCAATAATGTAAAATGACCTTTCATTTTACACCAACATTGTTTGACATGTTGACTTTATGAAAATGATAAGAAGACTACATGGAGTACGATGCATTATTGATATATAAATCTTTTGGACTCGACTCTTGAAATGAAAAAAGGCCATATAGGGTACGACATCCATTTAACTCAGACAATTTCTATTGGAACACCACGTGGTTCAAACGCTAAAGTTTCCTTGGTTAAATTTTACATCGAGCCGTAAGAGTTTTGCACTATAACAGTAGGAATCACGTGGGGTCATTGAGGGCATCTTCGAAGACGGAGACGGGGATCAACTCTTCAAAATCCACCAAGTGATGGAACCGGTTCATGATATCATGGTCGAGCTTGAAACTGGAACTTTGTCGTCCGATACTCATGTCTAAATCACCTGCTCAAAGACCTGACAAAGACAACCTTGCTTGTCCGTGAGTCTGTCCGAATAACGAAGATATTGCCAGTATATATTGCATGTCCGCTTACAAAGATCCTTTACTTGGGCAGCAACACATACATGTAATATCATAATGCATATAATAGTTTCATTGACCTGTCTGATGTTATTTACATTAAGAAATAAGAAGTTTTAATAACGAATTACACGGAACCATTCATTCAAATTAAGTAGGTCACAACTTATTAGATAGAAACTTAATATTGTTTAAGGGCATAATTTGTGGCATGTAATGGTTCCGTACTCTCAGTGCCTGAAAAAGCAAACTTAGAATCTTAATCATTGATTTTCGTTTTTCTACAATAAAAAATGTTCGAGTCTAAACACTGGTGTATTGACGTCATTCTGCATGTTTTTTTATATCACAGTAATATGAGGCGGGATAATTTAAAGAGAGAGTGATATAAACAAAAAATATAAAAATAACAAATTTATTGTTAATGATGAAACGTAAATAATGTACAGTATAATTTCTGCAGAGCATATCATTTTGGGAATAAGGATTTTGGATGTTGCCGAGACGTATTGCTCTTGAAAGATTAAAATATTTTGAAGTCTTACTTTTGGAAGAAGTGACAAGGCTGTTGTATAGAGGTTATCGCTCTACAGAGAGCTGTTCTTTAGACTTGTATTGTATGTGATTCATATACATATAAAGGCACACTTCAAACACCTTGGCAACAAATAAGAACAAATTGACGGCACGACTCTATCAATAATCAGGTTATTGTTTGCAAAATTGAGCTTTATCTTTGTTTATCTATGTTTTGCTGTACAGCATATATTTCTACAAAATATGAACGCAATCGTTTGAAATGCTTTGAAAGTTTTCCGCGGAAACCAAGACAAACAAATACTGTATTTTCACCAAAAAAGCTAAACTTAAAGGGGCATAGATATATCAATTAGGAAGTGATTGCGGAGATAAATTAATCTAAACTTTGTTTTGATATAACATACTTATAAAATGTGCAGTCTGAAAGGAACTCGAAACCGGGACCGTTCCGCGGCTCTATTGACTGAGCAACTAGCCGCCCCTAAATAGTGAACAGTTCTAAACGGAGACACTTACATGTATGCCAAATATATATAAAAAGGTAATGGAATTTTTCAAAAGTTATCCTGCTGAAACCAACTGTTTACGGACAGACGGACGGATAATGCCATACCATATCATGTCACAAAGACATGTCTTCGGGCGTATTTGATTTTTATCATTTTCTCTAGGAATTTTACATAAGGTATAAATGTGCTGTTCCGGTGGATATTAATATTTACAATTTTCCTGCTAGCTCATACAAATAGAACTTTACACAATCAAGTCGAGCGATAGTTAGAATCATTCAAATCACAACATATTATTAAAGCTACATGCCTCTAGATGACCCAAAATATTACACGAAAATTAGACTTGGAAAAACCATGCTAAAACTTTGAGAAAAGTGAACAAATGAAAGATTCAAGTGATAATCTATACCTTATGTGCAATTAATTTTGTATTTTGTAGTATTTATCACCATATTTCTACTGCGTTACTAACGCAGTAGGGGCTATTTATGCATATTTTGACCTCTTTTTGGTAATTTACTTGGATTATAAGTGCCAATTATAATGTGTCAAGTACTTTCTTTGTTCATTTCACAATATTTTACCT